AAAAGCTCCCTTTTTACATTACGAGCTTTGAATTTACTTGTTCTAAACCAGAGTTCCCTCACTTTACGCACTTGACTGCTTTAACGCACACATATAGATTTCAAATATGCATTATGATTTCAAAAGAGCACAGGGGGGGGGGGCGTTCTGTCTAAGGGCACATGCGAAACGGAAGTAGAATTACACCTTTGACTATTCCTCCTAAAAATCTTCTGAATTCTATGTTTTTTACTCAAAGCTATCTGTTATTCTATGCAGTCTCTCAGGGCGATTTTGTTGAGAAAAAGAAAATTTAAAACGACTTTTATGCGCTAGCCTGGGGGACGGATAGCATAGAGCCCCAAGAGTTCACTTGCACCGAGGACCTCACCGGGTGTGTCGCCAAGCAGCTTGACCATTCGCCAGAACGACGACAACGAGTTCCCGGAAACGAGAAAAACATTGCTGCCAGCGAGAAACAGGTACAACCGTGACTGGCAGTTTGATAGAAACTTCCTGTTACTCAACAGATTGAAGTAGAGAATGGAACTTCTCCCTACTCCCTTCACACATACATTCTTGATTATTACTGCCAGACACAGGCAGGCAGGACAAAACTCCACAGTGTGGAGTTTGTCGCCAATCGCCTGCTTACTCAATCATCATCGAAGCCATGCCCTCTTCGTAGTTAAAAAAACACCAAAAACTAATTGAAGTTATTCGAGCACATAATGTTCACCATCGCTACTCCGAACCAAATGCGCTTGTAGCCCTAAAAAAGACTTTCAACCCAAGGATTACATAGAACACCGAATCGCGTTGATGGAGTAAACTTCAGTAGTCCCTCAAACACGCAGATAAGAACTAAAATGACTTCCATGCTGCTGCTTAACGAGGAACTATTGCATTTCTCATAAAGGCCTTGTATTTAGCACAGGGTTATTTTACTACCCTTTTTCTGAAAAATCTTTCAAATAAGGGCTATGCATGGCGCACCTTTTCCAATGACCAATCAAGTTACTATGAAAAAAAATGCCGCTAAATTTACACCGGAGAATTTCTAACCAAGTTTTAGGACGGGTTTCTCGTGATTAACGCAGAATTCAGGTCAGCTTCTTCCAACTCGTTGTAAAACCAAGGCACTTTATTTGAATATCTAAGGTGGGGTTCTCGAATTTGTTAGCCAATCGATCAACCTGAACAGTGCAATGGAAGAGGACTCATGGGACTCACTAAAGAAGATTAAAACTGCAATGAA